GCCAACCATTATACCGACTAATTCGTCACCTCTATTTGTTTAATTTTAGGGGGGAACTCAAGAGATGGAGGGGGGGGTAACGTTAAACGAAACTTTAACTTCAAACGGCCTAATTAGCAAAATATAACCACGTCACCTTGAAATAATGAATTGTTTCTTTTAAATACAGTCGCAACAGGACTTTTTATAATGGTAACAATCACAATTTTTTAGGTGATGAATAATTTCATTGGTATATTAAATCATCGCCAATGTTATATGAAACTTTTATTCAATAAACAAAAAATTTTATTCTGTCGCTTTTGGCTCAACATTTCTTTGAAAATTGGATTAGCGCAGTGTTGGCAATTTTTTACGGTCACCTAATTTTATTGGTCATTGGCTGTCCAACAGCCAATTGGCTAATAGCTAAACTTTAGTCAAAATTTCCTAATTTATATAACATTAACCAATCATATTACTAGTGTTGCTATACAAAATATTTGAACATTTCGGCCTAACAGTTTTTTGCCTTTTTTTGGCCACTGGTTGCGGCCATTAGTCACGACCATTTGCCGGTCAAATAGATAAGTGACAACACTGGACTAGCATATATAGTGTTGTCAGTAGAATTAATTTGGCAAATTAATACGGTTACGGCATGTGCCGTGCCGCAATGCCGTAATTCCGTTATATTGAAATACCATAATGCTGTTGTATTTAAATATTATAATGTTATTGCAGTAATGTGTTAAAAACTGTAATGTTGCAATAATATAAATAAAATAGGATAACATTCCTCTAGTGTTTATTGTTTAAAAGTAATCTTTAGATTTAAGATAACGCACAGTAAATTTACTGGTTTTGTGAATAGATAATCAATGATCATCAAAGTTCGTAGTGAAAAAACTTAATTTTTTTTTTTTACTGTTAGGTTAAGGTTATTTCTTATAATTGGGAATAAAGTTTGTTTTCGGATTATCCTAAAATAAAAAGATTTGTTTTTGGATGTTCTAAATTCCCAAATTGTCCCATATTATCCTAATTTGCTCTGTCAAGCTGCAGATCTACAATATAGTTATTATATTCATTATTAAATTGGTAATAGTAAAGAATGTTAAGTTATATTTCAGTCATGGGCGAAGTTTTGTGTCTACAAAAGAAGTATTGATAGAGTGAACAGAACAAAATAATATCAATACATAAGGGTTTCAAATGATAATCACATTTATTGTTAATTACATTTTAGACTATATAACATTAATCGCCAAATGCACTGTTTAATTTGACATACATAATTCTAAATTTGATTTTTATCTCTTCAAAATATATTATTTTGAAAGTTCCTAACAAAGATTTGCAAACACCTTTGTTTTAAATAACTGACTATGAACATTCTTTATATTAGTGATTTGAACTGAGAAAAATTTCTTTAATTAGTTAACCGAATTGAATTATTTATTCAACCAGTTGCCAACCGATTAAGATTAAGATTAATATCTATACTACCTTTGGAAATTCTCAGAGTTTTACACTAATTTTGTCTTGTCTTTTATTTTCATTTTTTTCTTGTCAGAACTTTTCAGCACTCTTTCATACTATATTAATCCTGCAAACCGGTTGTACTGGGTCAACCAATTAAGAATTTCCTCAACCGGTTACCTGAAATTTATTTGGTTTGGTCAGTTAACCAATTATGGCTTAACTTATTCAAATCACTACTTTATATTACTCTATACTTTCTTAAAGCATACTAATTAATACAGTAATAAATAGTGATACCAAGAGAAATTTGACTTCAATCATTCAGAATTCATATGATTGAAGATTCATTTTCTCTTGAAGTTATTTAAAATAATATCTATGTAGGTAGTTCAATAAGTTTTGTCATTTATATATTATTTCAATTAGTTTTAATTTTATAGTTTTAAGAATTATATATATAAAAATAATAATTTTAATGCACTTGTAAAAAAAATTTTAACTAATTTTAATCAAATATTTTTTTTGAAAAATTATTATTTAAAAACATCAATTTTATCAATTGAAGACTTTTTAGATATTTTAATTAGTTAAAGTTTGTATAAAAAATAGTATAAAAATTTAAAAACTTAATAAATTTTTTTAAAAATTTAAATATAATTAAAAAAAATAATATATTTTTTAAATATATTATTTATTTTTAGAAAAAATATGTTTGTCACCGCAGGTGACAGTCACCTGGTCCAGATCAGGGGTCGATCTAGATAAGTTTTTTTTTGTTTATTTGTTTTGATTTTTCTTCGTACTAATACTGTAATACTTTCGTAAGTTTCTGATTTTTTGAACACCGGGTAAGGAAGCTGTTTTCTTGGACAGTACGAATGTCCTTTTAAATCTTTGTGTTGCTTTATTCACTAACTCTTCTTTTATATAGTTGTTATTTCGTCATTGGAGTCGTCACTATTGGAGTCTTCGTCGTTGGAGTTTTTTGAGTTTTCGTGGAGTCTTCGTCATTGGAGTTATCATCGTTGGAGTCTTCGTCGTTGGAGTCTTCATCGTTAGAGTCTTCGTCATTGGAGTCTTCGTCATTGGAGTCTTCATTGTTGGAGTTTCGTCATCATTAGAGTTGGTATAAGTTTATTTAAATCCTTCGTGTTGCTTTTTTTTCTATACTATTCCTTCTTCCAGGTATGATTTCGTCGTTGGAATCGCTATTGAAGTTACTGTCATCGTTGGAATCGTGTATGAGTCGTTACGTTGTTTTCTTTTTCCTTTTTTTTTGATATTACTAACTCCTCTTCCAGTATGAGTCCGTCATTAGAGTCGCCGTTCTTCTTCCAGGTGTGATTAGTCGGTGTATGAGTCGTTATGTTGTTCTTTTTTTTGATATTACTAATGTCTTTTCTTTTTTGAAACCATCATTGGGGTCGCTGTTCTTCTTCCATGTATGAATTTGTTGTTGTATGAGCATTGTGTTTTTTTTTTTTTTTTTTTGTATTACTAACTCCTCTTTTCTTCCAGTATGAAACTATCATTGGAGTTGCATCGTTCTTCTTCCAGGTGTGATTTCGTTGTTGGAGTCAGTGTATGAGTCGTGCTTTGTTTTTTTTTTGATATTACTAACACCTCTTTTCTTTTTTTCTCAATATGAAACCATCGTTGAAGTCGCCATTTTTCTTTCGTTGTTGAAGTTGGTGTATGAACCATTATGTTCTTTTTTTTTGATACCACTGTTGCCTCTTTTTTTCAGTATAATTCATCGTTGGAGTCGCTGTTCTTCTTCCATGTGTGATTTCGTTTAATGCGTTGTTTGTAGTGGATTTGTTATTGACGTGATGTGGATTAATTGTGCGAATTAGTGTTGCATGGATTAGGTTGTGAATTAGATGTTTGTTTTGTGTGTGAAGGTTTTGTAGTTACGCTTGCATTAGCATTTTTTTTCTTCTTAATAAATAATAGCATGAGTTTGTTATTACAGTATTAAAAAAAAAAACTTAATAACAAAAATACCGTGATCAAATTTGATTGGTCGATTATGGGTCATCAGTTGGAATACGAGCTAATTTTCCGAAATTGTAAACTTGCAATTTTATTGATTGATCAAATCCAGTAACTGTCACTGCCGGCAACAAATAGATTTACCCTTATTTTTAAATTAAAAAATAAATATTTAAAAAATTTAATAGTTAAAAATTTTTTTATATAAAACTAGTTTTTTTGATTTAGTTTATTTTAATATTTTAATATTTCTAAAAAATTTATAAATTTTAAAGTTAATTTTATAATAATTAACTTTTAAAACTATTATTTTTTTAAATAAAATTATTAAATTTAATTTAAATAAAAAAAAATAAAAATTTATTATAAGTAACTTTTACTTACTAAATATAGTAACTAAATTACTATATATAGTAAGATATATATAATTTTTAATTTGTAAAAAAATTACTTTAAATTATTATATAAAAATTTTTTTATATAAATTTTAAATATATATATATATATTATTATTATTTTTATATAAATTTTAATTATATATATATAAATTATTATTTTTGCTATATATTTTTTTTATTATATAGAAAATTTTAATTTTTATAATTTAACTTTTATTTGAATTCTACTAAATTTTAATTGTTAAAATTAACATTTTTAAATAATAATTTTTCTAAAAATATTTAATTAAAATTAGTTAAAATTTTATACAAGTTCAATAAATTCATTATTTTTATATATATAAATTTAAAACTATAAAATTAAAACTGATTAAGATAATATATAAACTACAAAACATATTAAACACCCATATAATATACCTACTCAAACTAGATTAATATTAAATTAAGCTAAAATACAAATATAATATATACCCAGTGTTTATTTTTCATATGTGCAAAAGTGTGCACGTGTGTGCGGATTCAATCAAACTTTTAAATAAAGCAATTTGATTGGATCTGCACATATACACACATTTTTGTGCATATGAAAAATAAATCTACAAATTTAAATATATATATATATATTTTTCCTTTGATAACCACATACTAAAATTTTATTAAAGGTGTTACGCTTAATACAAGACCAAGCTATATAATAGATAATTAGACTAAAAGTCAGCTGTCTCTTAGAGATGCCCAACCTTGGTTATCACACAAATGTTGGCTACTATACCCCACATACGGTGTGCCGTATTTAAAGATATAATTTAGCTGGGGCTCAACTCTCATCTCAGGACCTCTTTTCCCTTCTAATTCTTTCTCTTCTCAAGAGGCACGAGACAAAAAGGGAGAAAAGTTTAAACCAAGAAAACAAATATGAAAATGACCAAAAAAGAAAAACAAACAAAACAAGAAAAAATAAATACAGATTATGAAAAAGAAAAAACATAAAAAGAAAACTAAGACTCTAAATGTTGGTAAAAATTATATAACAAATGCATCATTTGTATATCTCTTGTAAAGGTAAAGCTCTGTCTTAATATTAAAGTTTACTTTCCAACCTTCCTACTAACTTCGGATGGCTCAATTGTCCAAGGCTCTATATCAAGGCTACCGTAATTGGAGTTCCCAGGCTGAGTCCCATGCAGTAGCACAATATCTATTTGTAAACAAACACATGGTTGCAATCTACTAGTCCATCCGAATTTGGGAAGTAAACAATGCCAATCTTTTGGAGAGAGTAAGCCAAATCCCCACTTTTTGTCAAAAAAATTTGGAAGAAAGGCAGGGAAGCAGAAAAAAGATAGAAGGCACCACTTGGCCAGAAAAAAGAAGTGCAGCTTAAAAGAAACCTGTTCTTTACTGTTCTTCAGTTGTTTTGCAACCGATAGCTTCGTCAACGGTAGGCTTGAACTTTATTACCTCCACTTAACCACCAAAATTTTGTATACAAGAGCACCATCTTCTGCCAGTTATCTTGTATACTGACACTTTTGGCTTGCATGTCAAATATATAAAAGAGTCCCTGATAGTAGAGAAAAGTTGATCTTTATAAAAACCGCCCTGTTAATTCACCTCACTACAGGTTATTACTACTTTCCAGTATAGAAAATAGGTATTTCTTTTTGTCAGAAAATTTGGTCCAAGTGATCGTCAGAAAGAGTTGTATCATTTCTAACAAATTTAAATATCTTATATTTAAAATATATATATTTGTTATATAATTATACTCACTATAGTAAATATTCAAATTATTCACAAAATTATCTTGGAAAAGTATCAATAAAATAAGTAATAGGAGTTTAAGAAATTTTAGTAGTAGAATATAGTAAATTAAAATATAATTACTTATTGTTATGAATATTTGTACCCATGCCAAGCATAGTGGACAACCTATATTATATAAGCTTCCAGATCTGAAAATTGTAACTCAGAACCAATCTGTCTAATAAAAGTACAATGATGATCAATTACATGAAATTAAACGATTGGTTATATCTGTTCATGTGATAACTGGCCAATTAATTTTTTTAAAATTACAATAATGTTTGAAAAATCTTTATTTACTAATTCAAAGATAAAAAAATAAAAATTTAAAAATAAAATTTAAAAAGAATAAAAAATTTAAAAGAATAAAAAATTTATAAAAATAAAAATCTAAATAATTTAACTCTTCCCAACGATCACTGTAACCAAAATCAGAGCAGAACCAAAATATAGCAAAAGTCACAATGAGACTAAATAAACTTGCAGTGAGCGACTATAAAAGAACATTAGTTGTTGTAAGAAGAAGATACTTTCTTAAGACACTAGTCCTCAATAGAAAGTAATTAGGCTAGTTACTTTAAGGAAAGGTTTTTTGGCAAAGAAATTTTGGGAAAAATAGAAAAATTGGCTAGACCCCAAATACAGATCTCTACTTGTAACACGTAAACAAACAACGTAACAAGTATACGAATTAGGATATCTAAAGTAAACAAATAAACAAAGAAGCAGATACGCAAACAAACAAATCAAGAATAGAAGTCTAGATTGTTATGCAAGAACCGGTAACACAGAATGGCCCGGGGACATTAGAAATGTCGAAGAGTTATGCAAAGCTTGAGGAATACCGAGGCATGTTCAAAAGATCGGTAAATGAGCAGAATTTGATAGTAGAAAATCATAAATCAAACATCTTGTGTAAAGATAAAAAAATTGCAGCACTTATTAGTACAGAACCAGAAACGGTGTGCATGTTCTAAAATATAATTGAACTTTATAGCTATTGTGAGTATCTGCGAGCTAGAGAAAGAGAACTAGTCAGTCAAGATAAGAGTATAGTTTCTGTGTTAAAGAAACAGGACATTAAAAGTTTAATAGACCATGAAGTTGGTTGTATTGATTATGGTATTAAAGAGATCCAGTCCAACAAGAAGTCAGGATGTGTAGTTAAAGAATATAGTAAGCAAATAAATAGGCTTGAAGAAGCAGTTGTAGTAATTCCAGAGAAGAGTAAGCGACAAGATGAAGATCTCAGTGAATATAAATGTAAAAGAGCCAAATTAAATCACAATAGTTCGGCAAAAGCTTTGAAAAAGCATGAAGATATGGTAGTCGATAAACAAGATTCGTTACTACAAAAAGAAAGTTTATTTGATAGACCAAGCATTAAAGATGGTGAGATACAAGTTAACAAATGCCAGGATATAGTGGTGGTAAAGCCGATGCATATAATAGAAGTACCGGTTGAACCAGAAGTAAGTAAAGAAATTGGTAGATCAACGAATAGTCGGTCAGCAGAACATCACGTGAATCTTGCACAGTTTGAGACCCATGCAATATAAGATATACCTCTCAAAGTATATCCTGCACAAGTATGCAAATATCTTCATTTCTATGGTAAAACAAAATTCATATAGTGGAAACCATGTGGCAAGAGTAAGGCACTTGAATTCTCGATTAAATTTTGGAGTGAAAAGAGAATGAAAGATTTTAAGAAGGCATGGGCAATTCATTTCGAGGAAGGAAAAACATGCAGGATAACACCTGGTAGTTTTGAAAGAGGAATACTTGAAGAAAGAGCATCGTTTAAGGTAGTAGTTAAGAATGTTCCAACAACAGCAGTTGAAATACTGCTTCTGCGTCAGTTGAGGGTAGTAAATGCAAAGGCAGTATACATTTCATATAATAGAAATCAGAATTAATGTCATATAGCAACAGTGTATTTTGGTTCATGTGATGAATTAGAGACAGCATTAGTAAGAGAAGTGTATTATTTCGACGTTAAGCTGGAGTGGATTGATGTATGAAATAAAAGTAAAAGAGATATAGTTGAAGAAGAGATGAGTGGTAAGGTAGTTGAGCCTCAAAGTATCAAGATAGTGACAAGTAAAGTTAGAAAATGGAAGAGATAGCAAACAGCAGAGAGGGTGTTTAAAAGCAGTGCTGAGAGCAATAAAGAAAACAGAAAGCACAAGATCGAAGAATCGACAACAAAGTCAAAAGGAAAACAAGCCAAAAACTTAAATGAAGAGATCGATCTTGAGTTCAA